CCCCCCATCCCCCCCCAGCTGACCTGCAGCAGGAGGAGGTTGAAGATTTCCTGGCCGAGGTGATGGACAACGAGTTCGACACGGTGGTGGAGGACGGCAGCCTGCAGCAGGTGTGCTCCCAGTACGGACCAGTATGGACTGGTGTGCTCCCAGTACAGCCCAGTATGGACTGGTGTGCTCCCAGCAGCTGGCCGGCCTCCCCCAGTGCCTCCCAGTACAGACCAGTCTGTTCTCAGTGCACTTTTAGTTCCTCCCAGTACATCCCAGTTGCACACATCAGTCCTCAGCATCCCCCAGACCCATCCCAGTCCCCCCCAGTCCCTCCCAGTCCCCCCCAGTCCATCCCAGTCCATCCCAGTCCATCCCAGAACCCCCCCAGTCCATCCCAGTCCATCCCAGAACCCCCCCAGTCCATCCCAGTCCATCCCAGTCCCCCCCAGTGCCCCCCAGTCCATCCCAGTATCCCCCTGCAGGTGAGCCGGGAGCTGCTGACGGTTTTTGCCCGCGCTCGGTGTGGGGACGTGCTGGGGGTGGGGGCGGCGCTGGGGGCTCTGTCCCGCCGTGGCCCCGCCCTGGCCGCCGCCCTGGGCAGCGCCCGCGCGGGGGGCGACACCCCCGGGACCCCCGGGACCCCCGGCCTGGGCAGCGACACCCCCGGGACCCCCGGGACCCCCGGCCTGGGCAGCGCCCCACAGCCGGGGGAGGAGGAGGAGGAGAGCAGCGAGGAGGAAGAGGAGGAGGTGAGGGGATGACGTCACTGGGATGATGTCATGGGGAGCTGATGACGTCATTGTGCTGCTGAAATGACGTCATTAAATTGGGGGGTGGGGACTCCCCGGGACCCCCAGGTGAGGGGGGGGGGGGGTTGTGGGGATGATGTCATTCCTTATGATGTCATTCAGTCCTGATGATGTCATCAAGTGGGGGAAAAGGGGAAAACTGGGCTGGGGTCACCAAATTTGGGGAGTGGGACCCCCAGGACCCCTGTGAGCGAAGAGGAGGGGCGCTGATGATGTCACCAAGGGTGGGGGGGGACAGTGATGATGTCACCAGGGTGTGTGTGATACTGATGATGTCACCAGTGTGTGTGTGTGTGTGTGATACCGATGACATCACCAGGGTGTGTGTGACACTGATGATGTCACCAGGGTGTGTGTGACACTGATGACGTCACCTGTGCGTGTATGTGACACCGATGACGTCACCAGGGTGTGTGTGTGACACTGATGACGTCACCTGTGCGTGTGTGT